ACTCTACATGAATATTAAACCAATACGAAGTACAACAACATATATATGTAGGACTTATTTCTACTGTCATTTACATCGATCGTAAAAATATCTCCTCTTCAACTTGAAATAAAAGCAATGACAATCCTGATGGTATCCTATATGCGTTCGTAAGCTTGCTAAAATACTACTGCGTTGATGTCCTCTTGTAAAAGCTGAAATCCAACAAATGCTTTGATCCATGCTACATCTCCGTGTTGGAAAAGCCTTTTCATCTCCGTTCATGGTAACATCTTACGCTATGATTCCATTGTTAATCTGTCTCTGACTCTTTTCTATGATAGAGATGGACTCGTTGTGTCATATTACGAAAAAAAAAAAAAAGCGACAAGAAATCAGAAACGCCGAAACCAATAAATATCGAAACCAAAATCCAACCTACTACGATGAGCCGAACCTGTTGGATGTACTCACAGCATTGACAGATTAGTGCAACCGAGGAACGTTCTGAGAAGATGGAGCGGGGAATTTTCGGGGTTCCGCAGTTGTGATTAATTGGAGGAATGATGGTTCCATCATCTTTTGCCACATATTCCTGTTTTCTGGGTGTACATGTATACGCGTCTGCAACGATGCTGGCCACGTGCCCTTGGATAGACTAATAATTGATCTTCCTTTGCCTGGTTATCAAGCTCTGGGCTATCACGCCCGTATCCATACTACATATCCACCAGCTATCACGCGGCCGGGCGGTCACGCCTCTAGGCTATCACGCCATCACAACAGCTATCACAACACCAGCGTCAACACATCAGAGCCGAGCCATCACGCTCCGGAACAACATCACAGATGCGTCGGGTTACCACACCCACGGGCCGTTTACTGTATTTTATAGTTGCCGGTAAACTCGCCGCGCTTTTCTTTTATTGTTGCCGTCTACAACTGCGCCGGGCGCACCAAGCTCTCCAACATAACCATTGACTTCCTCTCGGACTCACTATGTATCACTTATCGGGCCAACCCGACGTCTATGCCCCGGTCGTATCCCTTCACAACAACAAGAAAACACAAAAATCAACGCAAGATGGAAAACAAATTTGGTCGATAGACTACTTGTTGTATACAGCAGTGGTCTAGACAGATTTTCCTATTCCCGTTGATCCCTCCTCTCTTGAGCGACAGACAGGGTGGGGTGGGAATATTCGATCAAGTCCCAAACGAAAACTCTATTCTCTCGTTGCTGCTTTGCTGCACTACCTTCGCGGGCGATGCAACACTTTTCCCTTCGAGGTCCTCGACTTCCCTAGGATCCCAAAAGCTTCTGCCACTCTCTCCCTCTGCTATGTAGCCTGTATGTATATAGTCTAGCTATACCCCCGTGTACCCTTTATCTGGTCTGTTTGGAACATACATAACGGGCGAGATACTACTGGCGACGACACGATACTAAAACTTCAGATAGACCAGAAGCATAAGCGACTCAAAACAGGTGAGAACATTTCGCCGAGCCGTAGTGGTAGGGACGGCGAGAGTTGGAAGCCAAGAGGGGCGATAAGCGCGCCGTGAAACACGCGGTTGAACTAACAACGCAAGACTGTCAGGATAGATCCATCCGGAGTTCATGAGCGGCGGGGGCGGACATTGACAAGGACCAGGGACCCTCTCTCCGACTCTTCATTTGCGCGGATAAACTCCGTGGAGGGCAACTGCTAGCTTTGACAACGATATTGGTCCTTTGTAGGTTTCCGTCAACCACGGCGAAACGTGTTGTGGTGGAGTGATTGCGGTGTATACACGGGCGACAAATTCTCCGATATAGCCTGAAATCACCTGGTGGTGGCATGTATGGGTTGGGGACCGGTTGTTTGCGTGCTTTCCCATACTTAATTTACTCGTGTGTCCGTGGGCGCCCCTACGTCACCCTGTCGTTGTGTGGGTGTTTTCACTGCGCCTGCAGCCCGAAGAGATGAGGTTTTCACCCCTGGACAAACGAAAAAGACTGGACTTCAAAAATGAGCTTTAGTTCACCATCAGTGTCACATCTCGACGACACAACCACCTCGGAGCGGACTCGCTTTCTACGCTTTCCGTAGGTTTCACTCTGCACGCCACCGCCACACAGCAGTGGATCGAAAACGCACTCGGGAAGAGAAGAAAACGACAAGAACAAAACTGCGACCACAAAAATGCAAGACTGCTGTGGGCCAACCAGACTGGCGACGACAAAAAACTTGACAAGCGAAACACATTCAATACCAACAAAGAGGAGGTTAGCTACACTCCGCGTCCCCATAGCCTTCCTCCCACCTGCCCTCAAAAAGTACATCAGACAACAAAAACACGCCAACACAACACTCAAAACAACCCCCCACGACAACAAGATGGCTGCTGTCGCCGCTACAACTACCGACAGCAGCGTACGTACACATCTCGAGGCATCAATTTATGTATGTAGCGTCGCCTCAGCACAACATTTCACCGCGACAGAAACTGAACACCTTTGGGTGCTGTGTATGACGATGACGGCGTTGCCTCCCCCATGGGCGATCGACAGGAGGATCGAAGCGAAGTAAACCGGAAGCCCTTCTTTCGCGGCCTATCTCGCGGCCTACGGCCGGCACTCAAGGCCGGGAGGGAGCCGTCTCCGCCGCCGCCGATACACAGAACACCGTGAACAAAAATCCTACTTGGTTCATCGTCGAAATCCAATCTCTCTCTTTCTCTCTCTGATCACTGTCCTCTGCCCCTCGAAGCGTTTAGCACCAGCACAAAATGAAACCAAGAGCAGCAGCAGCACGGGCAGTCGTGCACGTTCAAATATCTTACGTTTGGGATCGAAAAGCAACACCGACCCCGTCCCCTCCCCCTCCCCTTCAATCAGTCGTGGAGATGCGAGGGTCTACGGTCTAATCCACCACCTGGGCCACGCGTGGCAACGACTTCACCCGCAAACCCTGCGCTTTCCCTCGAACCAGGAAGACAGATCCACTTTTCGATGGCAAACCCATACGGCTGACGCAGAGAACGAAGTGGTGTCACGCCTCCATCTCTCCCTCGAACAACGCCTCCTCCGCAGATCGGACACGGATAACCTACCAACGCCTCGTGGTTCCCATCGTACCCCTCCTGGATCACGCGTGGACGGTTTTCATGTTCACATCGTCATCAGCGTATTCCAAGGGGCTTAACGGTTCCCTCACACTTCCGTGCGACAGGAGAACAGCTTGCATTCTAGAGCACGCATTTATTTAAGTTTTATTTTACCAACCAAAATCTTCAGCGTTTGACACAACAAGCATCACCCCTTGCCTCTGTTCTCTCTGGCGCGCACTCGCACACACAGTCAGACTCTGTGGGCACACCAAGCCAGCGAAATCCAATTGCTACGTCCCTCCTGGATTGACTATTTCCAGATTCTCTCTCCTTGCGGAGGGGCTGCGGGCCCCGGAAGCAGGCGGCAACGACTCTTGACAGGCTCGCCCCCCCGCTCCCTCCCTTGCCGCTATCCCCTTCGCTCCGTAGTGCCTGCCCGTTCGTTGGGGGTGTGCGAGATCAACGACCACCAGCAGCAGCAGCAGCAGCAGCAGCAGCAGCAGCAGCGACACCTGTGTTCCCGGGCGTCGCCGTCGTTGCCCCTGCTCTCGCCACGTACCCTGTGCTGTTGTTGTCGTCAGGGCTGGGATCAGCTTGCTGGGCCTTCTCCGGGGGAAACAATACAATGCGCAGGGGAGGGGGGTGACGGGATTACAACAAGGACCAGGAGGGGGGGGGGGGGGGGGGGGGGGGG